CCACATCGAAGAAGCTTGTCGCGCAGCTCGCGGCAGCGACTGATATACGCCATTCCCTTCTCGCCTGGTTTCATTTCGATTGTTGTCAGCTGCGCCATTAACCGACTTTGGTTTACGCTGTCTGTTGCTTGATACATGTTCTTCAAGTGATTGTACGCGAGCTCCGCGGAGTTGCCATAACCTCGGTAAGTCCTTATGTTCTGCTGTTGAGTCGGGGTGATGTTCCTCAGTAGTATCGTGTACGCCATCATCGATTGATAGGTGTACTGCTGCTTCTCATACTGTGTGCCGTTTGTTGGGTATGGCAGGGACCCGTCGAAGAAGCCAAGGATTTGCGCTCCTTCCATCATCAGCTCGAATTCGAACGACTAGGTAAAGAAGTCCTTCCCGTCGAAAGGTTTTGTCGTTTGCAGTTTTAAAACGTGCGCGAACTGCGACTGAACTTGTAGTGCGTCCAGCGTTCTTTCTTGTCCCGGTGCAGGTTGTGGTTGTGGCATGAAGCTGACGGAGCCGCGCTGGGGCTCGTACGGAGCGAAGGTAGGTTGTTGTTGTTGATTCCCGCGTGCGTAGGATGAGCCATCGAGACTCATGGGTGTCACGTTGTTGTTGTTGTTGTTGTTGTTGTTGCTGTTGTTTGATTGCGCAGGTACTCCTTGCTGATGCTGCTCGTAGAAGGACATGAAGGAGAAGAACTTCTCCATCATGCTTGGATCGAAGCCCGCGCCTTGGTTTGCGGGTGTTTCAGTAGACCCAGCGGCCGGTCTCGTTGTTGTGCCTTCCTCTGTCTGTAGGCCAGAAGCAGGAGGTGGAGTAGGAGTAGTACCAGGAGAGCCGTTGGAGGAGCTCCTCTCCTTTCTGGTCGACATGTCTCTTGGTGTAATTTAAGGGGAAATAGAATTTTAACCCTAACCAGCTCTCATACCATGTTGGGCTGAGTGCCCCTTAGGATCTTTGGTAGGGTTAATCTCTGGGTAGAATGATGTAGTAGCGGAAGCGTTAACAAAGAGATTCTGAACCACCTTGCGCTAGTATGTGAGGGCAAAGTAAGTTGATTAAAACAAGGAGATACAAGATTTTATATATGATTACAAGGAATACGAAGAGATACGAATGATAACTGTTTTACTGTTGGCTGTTGCGGTTCGATACTGTGCGACTCGGGCAACTGCTCAATATCGAGTCAATTGTGTGTCCTTGCTGTCGCGCTGCATTTGTCAAGTCAAAGGTCGCTGACCTTTGACCTTCGCGTAACCTCCAGCTGTTGCTTCAACTTCCGAGGGTTGACTCGCTGGTGCCTCGATATGCGTTGCTTCACTTGTGTCTTTAGTGTTTCGACACGACAGAGGCGCTTAGGACCGATTGTTTCCAACAGCGAGGACCCTGGTTTCGGCCTCGAACTTCATCGCCCTCACGAAAATGCCATGTGGCACCTCTCTTGCCACTTGCAACGGAAGATTCACCTGCACGTGGCAACAGAGAAATAGTGGGAGGCAGGGCCTCAGAAGTCAGCGAAAAAAGGCTGATTTAAGTAAAAAAGGCTGAGATTTCAGACCTTTTTCAGAATCGATGTTGATTTTCCAGCAATTTTTTTGTGAAGAAACAGGATTTTTTACTATATTTGTAGTGTAAAATGGCATAAAATGGGCTGATTTCTCTGTTTTTCAGCATAGAATTTTGTACCAACTCTGATCTTTCAGCCTAGCCTGAAACCAATCTGAGGCCCTGGTGGGAGGGGGCAAATCTCGGCAGATTGCCTTTGAATGTACCGCGAAATTTCATTGAGGGAGAAATTCACACGATATTCTTCCGTATTGCAGCTACTCGTTAACGACTATAATAATGAATCCGTAAGAAAAGGGGGGTGTTATAGAAAATCAGCCAAAAAGGGGGGTATAGTAGAAACGAGGTCTATCATAACACCCACCCCGCACAAGCTACCCGGGGGTGTACAATTATGGGGGGGTGTTTTGTCCGGGAGTATACGGTAAGTATGGCGAGATGTACAATGCAGTGTAGCGAGATGTGCATGCCAATAGTCCATGCTATCTACACGAACTTCGGTTCGCGAAGTATACCACCGCTGCCGCGCCGCCTCAAGCGAGCTTCACCCGAAACAAAACACAGAGCCTTTCGTAAGGGAAGTATTGAACGCCCATGAGATCACCATTCTCGCCATTGCCACTCGCGCCAGAACCGCTACCGAGATTTGAGCCGGATGGGCCATTGTTTGTACCCTTGCCGACCTTAGTCTCCGTCCCGTAGAGATTCAGCGTAGCGGATTCGATTTGAACGCGAACGAGCGCGCCGTCTTTCCCCGCAGCGTCGGCGCGGAACGTTTTTGCCCACTCGTTCCCGCTGTTTCCAAGACTGCTGCTGTCGAGAATCTCTTTCATCAGTTGCCCGTTGTACACGAGCGCAGTCGAATCGCGAATCTCGAAAACGCCGTCCGGAAACTGAAGGGGAACGTCGTCGGATAATGTTTTTGCAACTTCCGGGGAGCAAACCAGCGCAGATTCGTTTGCTGTAGCCTCCTCCAAGTCTGCACCACCAACGACTGTCACAATTTCGGATGGAGTTACATCGAGTGGTGCGTCCGTCACCAACGCAGGGAGGGTGATGGTTGGAATCACGTCCATCGATTTATTGAACACGAAATCGCACATCGCGGAGGGTTCTGGGTTCGGGCACGCGAGGGGGAACGGGGCGGAACCTCCCACGCCGCGGGTCTGGGGGGCGGCTCCGGGGCAAGGCGCGCTATCGGGGGCATGGTTGCTGGGCGCATTGACCTGATTCCCGGGAAATTCGAGCACGGACCGGCGGCCGGGGACGGACGGCTCAGATGCGGGAGCAGAGGCGGGATTGGCGTCGAGCGTTGACCGTCGTGGAGAACCATTGCCGCCGCGCAGCTGGCGGCTCATCATGCTGCGGCGCCTGAACGGCTCGTAGTATGCTGGGGGCGGTGCGGGTGCGAACGCGATCATGGACCGGCGCGGCATGGTAGTAGTACGAGTCGCTCCGGCGGCTGTTGACTTCGAGTGACCTTCGTTAGCAGTAGTAGTAGTACCGATCGGAGTGTCGGTGGCCGCTGAAACGGACGAATCCGTGTTGATGATGGATGATGTGGCGTCGGCGGGTGCAGCTCCGACGGCGCCGGCGGCGGGCGCGGCGGTTGCGGTTGACTCAGTCGAAGTTGACTCTGTTACCCGTTTTTTGGCCGCATGCTGCGGCGGCGGTTGCGCCGCGACGCCGTGATCCGTCGGAGCGAGGAGTACGTCATTGGAATTGGCAAACGCAGCGAGCAGTTTCTTGTCGTTCGACGGCTCGATTTTAGAAATCAGGTGCTGTTGGTACATGTCCCTCCACGTGACAGCAGCGGTTTCATCACTGCGACCTGTTTCGAAACCCAGCTCAGCCTTGAGACTGTCGAAGCGGTGAATCAGAGGCTTCAGCAGACGACCTAGGAGCGATCGTCGAGGGCGAGGGAGAGCTGTGGCTGCGGGGAGATGGTTGAGTAGGAGAAGCGTGACGAGGGGCAGGAGAAGCACAATAAGGAGGGTACACTTTCTCGCCATAACCGAATTTGATGAAGGGGCTGTTTCTATGGTTTTGAATGAGCTAGGCGGTGTTACTGTCAGATCGCTGCAATCAAATGTTTGCCTGTGATGGTCGATTTTGCTGACTATATCGGCTGAATAATTCACGGCTATTGAAGAGGAATGAGGAAACGATTGAAGTTTGCTGAGTGAGGGAATTTGTTGGTGGATGATGGAAGCACAAGAAGTTGGAGTATTTCAACAGCTACAATGTTTGTTCGACGAATCGCATCCCGAGCGGTGCGTTTGATGGGCTTGATTACCGACGGCTGAGATCGCGTGGGTGAAGTGCAAGCGTTGAATGTCGCGGTGTCGCGCTTCGGATGATCTGAGGAGGGTTGACCAGGTCCACCATACAGTCACAGGCTTTCGTAGGTCTGTCGTCCTTGTCACTCTAGGCCAATCTTACGGACTACGAGTTGGATTGTAGGGTGGATGGAAGGTGGTAGGCGTATATACCACGATCGCATCTGACCATGTGCGATCCACGGTCAGTCGCACGATCTGTGTTGTGGTGGAGTGGACTCGTCGTTTGGCGGCGTGGGATTTTCGTCGAAGGCAAATGTCGATGGAAAGTTTTCAGCTCGGACCGACCAACCTCTCCATGTCGGTTCGTTGTACAGTTGTCGACAGAATTCTGGATGTCACAGCAGTCCCGCGGGACAGGCTTCAAACTAGCGAATCGGTCAGCCGTTTGAACAAGTGCCGTGAACGGTGAGTATACCGGTTTGCAAGAATGTGGGACGGCCAAGAATGACTTCGTGTACGACATGTTGCAACAAGGTGAGACCTGCTGACCGATTGTGGCTGTCTCACCTTGTTGCAACATCCACGACCGTGCGAGTCGAACGAAATGACCTCCCGTACCGACAACTGCACAAAGAGACTGCGAAAAAAACGAGCACGTGACTTCGTCCAGCTCACGCCCAAGCCTCAGCTTTCACCATCACCAACAAAGGAAAGTAACAACTTGCGAGATATGTTACCAAATAACAAATGTTCTTCGTTCATTCCGCAGGGTGTGCCCCCCAAAAAATTTGCCAGTCTTCTGGCGTCACAATTCGAATGTAGTTTAGGGTTTCTACAAAAACTTGATCGTGGATAAGTAATGTGGTATAAAGAATTCAGCCAGTATCGAATATAAATGAGCCAGCCCAAGTTTATTTTCTTTCCTCCTCCACCTCGCCCCCCGCTTCGCAGAGGACGCTTAGAAGAAAGGAAAGGAAGCGATAGTTTAGCCCTGCACGACCTGGATTCGATCACTTGGCGAGTCGCGGCGCATGACACGTCCTCCGTCAAGCCGCTTTCGCAGAAATCCAGGGTTTCCACGTGTAGATAGTAGACTTCGTCTCTAAGCGCCTGTAGGTTCACCCGACGCAATCATTCGCCACGGTAACTGTTTCGCCTATGTTCCCGACAATCTGGTTTCCGCACCGTCATGTGCGCCGGCTAACTTGTACTCTCCTCGTTTCATCGAAATCCATCCTTCACAGCTTCTCTAAAGGGTTAATTTTCCCGGCGCGCGGATTTAGCGCTTCTGATGGACCCACGGCCGTTAGATCGGTCCCTGCTGGTTTGGCGGCAGCTAGATCAACGGCTGCGATTGGCGGAGGGGATAGCGGGAAGAACGGCGGAGGATCGGTTGCGCGAGCGTCGGTGCCGGTGGTGATTGTGGGCGCGGGGCCGGTGGGGCTCTCCCTTTCCATCATGCTCTCGCGTTTAGGTGAGCAGTAATGTACGCGTTCTAAGCAGATTCGTTAGTGCCGGTAGTGATTGTGGGCTCGGGGCCGGTGGGGCTCTCCCTTTCCATTATGCTGTCGCAAGTAAGCGAGCAGTAATGCACGTTACAGTACAGGCAGGCTTGTTAAATGCTCTCTCCCTCTCCCTCTCTCCAGGCGTTCTGAGCGTGGTGGTGGGGAGAGGGAGCATGGGCTGCACTGCAGCAGCATCCCACAGCTAGAGTAGCAGCAGTAGGAGCAGGAGCAGGGGCAGCATGCTGGCTCTAGATGGGTCACATTGGGGTATGCGTTCCCTTGTGGGGCTGCGCTTTCCTCTCCTCCTCTCACCCTCACATCCACTCCTCCTCTCCCTCTCCAGGTGTTCGGAATGTGGTGGGGGAGAAGGAGCATGGGCTGCAGCAGCAGGAGCAAGGCAAGGGTGCCATGCAGGCCTGAACGGCTCGCTCAGCTTCTCTCCTCCTCCCTCCCCCCTTCTTCAGGTGTTCGAAATGGGGTGGGGGAGAAGGAGCATGGGCTGCATCAGCATCCCGCAACAGCACTAGCAATGTCACTCATACGCTGTGCTTCCCCCTCCTCCTCTCATATTCTCATCCCCTTTTTTACCAGGCGTTCCGAATGTGGTGGTGGAGAGGGAGCATGGGCTGCAGCAGCATCCCGCAGTGGCTAGAAAGGTCACTCATAGCTTGTGCTTCCCCCTCCTCCCCTCATATTCCCATCCCCCTTTAACCAGGCGTTGGGAATGTGGTGGTGGAGAGGGAGAATGGGCTGCAGCAGCATATCAACTGCCGCCCTTTTCTCCCCTCCCCTTTCCTTCTCCTCCCCTCTTCCCAGGCGTTCGGAACGTGGTGGTGGAGAGGGAGCATGGGCTGCAGCAGCACTCGCAAGGTTGTGCTTCCCTCCCCTCATCTCATCCGTGCATATTCTCAACTTCCTTCCTTTTACTAGGCGTTCGGAACGTGGTGGTGGAGAGGGAGCATGGGCTGCAGCAGCATCCCGCAGCGCATCTTATTAACAACAGAACCATGGAGGTACGCCAAAGAATGCATGATGGGATGTGGCATGTGATGATGTACGGTCACTATGATGGCATGTGATGATGTACGGTCACTATGATGGCATGAGATGATGTACGGTCACTATGATGGCATGTGATGAGGTACGGTCACTATGATGGCATGTGATGATGTACGGTCACTGTGATGGCATGTGATGATACACGGTCACTATGATGGCATGTGATGATGTACGGTCACTATGATGGCATGTGATGATACACGGTCACTATGATGGCATGTGATGGATAGGATAGCATGTGACTTTGTTAGCCATGCCATGCCATGTGAATATTATGGCTTTGCAATGGCTTGGTTTGTTTTGCTCAGGCACGGGTCAGCCAGGTCACTTAAAAGGTGCGCCACCTTCCATCCAGCACTTTTCACCACTTTTCTGCACTTTTCTGCACCTTTCAGCTCTTTTCAGCTCTTTTCAGCAGTGGCAAGGCAACCATATGTCATGTAAATCCTATGGCATTGTTTGCAATGCAGAGGCACAGGTCAGGCAGCCCACTTGAAGGTGTGTTTACTCTTGTTGTTTGAGCCTTGGCACGTTAACTTCCAGTATAATCACATGTTTTCCCATCCATTTCCTATCCTGTATAATCAGGTTCACCCATATCGCCAACACGTTTCAAACAACTTGACCCCCTTTACAGTCACATCATGTTTACTCTGGAATTTTCTCCCTCTCTCTCTAATGGTCCTTTCATGATATAGTCGTTTTACACGCATACAGGAGTTATAGGTTTCATGCATACAAAGCAATCTGGGAATATTCTCGCTCTCTCTCCATCCTTTTTCCCTTCCAAGTGTTCCTTCCCTCTTATCCTACTCCACATGTTTCGCCTTTTGAGTTGATTCAAAAGTCACTTTGTTTCGCCGTCGGGCACAACCGTTTCTGACAGCTCCTGTACCTTCCCTCTTATCCTACTCCAGGTGTTTCCCCTCATGCGCCCCCTTAACAATCAACTAATCTCTGTCTCACTTCCTTCCCTTCTTTCCTTCCAAACCTCCCTCCCCCAGATTTTTTGCCTCATGGGCCCTCTTTACAATCACATTACCAGTCAGCAGCCCCCTTTAGAGGAGTGGCGGTCGTTTGTGCACTGCACGCGCATTCTGGGGCGGGAGCTGGGGTTTGAAAACAGGATCATGTTCGTTCCCCTCATGGCCCTCTCAATCACTTCACGAGTCAGCAGCCTCTTCCCTCTTTCAATGCTCTTGTTCTCTCTATCTCCCTTCCCCCCACTGGCACCCACCCCCTCCCACCCCGGTCCAATCTATCGCAGATATTTCGCCTCATGGGCCCCCTTTACAATCACATCACAAGTCAGCAGCCCCCTTTAGAGGAGTGGCGGTCGTTTGTGCACTGCACGCACATGCTGGGGCGGGAGCTGGGAAAGCAGGATCACTTCAAAGGGCAGGAAGGTAAGGGAGCGGATGGGAGGGGAATGGAAGTGGGTGGAGAGGGGTTGAGAGCGGTGGTGCTTGCATGTGCTGTGCACGCACATGCTGGGGCGAGAGCTGGGGAAGCAGGACCATTTCAAAGGGCAGGGAGGTAATGGAAGGGAGGGAAGGTGCAGCGAGGAGATGGGAAGTGGGTGGAGAGGTGTTGAGAGGGGTTGAGAGGGTTGGAGTTCGTTTGTGCACTGCACGCACATGCTGGGGCGAGAGCTGGGTAAGCAGGATCGCTTTAAATGGCAGGAAGGTAAGGGAGGGGATGGGAGGGGAAGGGAGGGGGGAAGGGGAGGGGAGGGAATTTAGCAGCGTTGTGCTTGTTTGTGTGCACTGCACGCACACGCTGCTGTGGCGCATTTCTCACAGAACTGGTTTATGCCACAGCTGCTGCTGGCACAGTCACCATCTGTCTCTTTCTCTTGATCCCTGTGCGGCTGTGCCCCATCTCCCCTCCCCCTCCCCAGGCCACGTGAGGTGAGGGCGTTTTTGAGACGTCTCAAAAACAGTCACCATCTGTCTCTTTCTCTTGATCCCTGTGCGGCTGTGCCCCATCCCATCTCCTCTCCCCCTCCTTTTGAGAATTCTCAAAAGCGACACAGTGACCATCTGTCTCTTTCTCTTAATCCCTGTGCGCCTGTGCCCCATCTCCTCTCCCCCTCCCCAGCCTATCGCACATAAGCCCAGCCTATCGCACATAAGCCCAGCCTATCGCACATAAGCCCAGCCTATCGCACATAAGCCCAGCCTATCGCACATAAGCCCAGCCTATCGCACATAAGCCCAGCCTATCGCACATAAGCCCAGCCTATCGCACATAAGCCCAGCCTCTGTGGCCCATTTTTCCCAAAACAAGCTGCTGCTGCTGCTGCTGCTGCTGCTAGAGCAGGCACCATCCGTCTCTCTTTCTTTACCCCTCTACCTCATCTCCTTCCCCCTCCCTCCTCCCCTCATGTGCAGGCCTATCGCAAATAAGCCCAGCCTCTGTGGCCCATTTCTCGCAGAACAAGCTGCTGCCGCTGCTGCTGGAGCAGGCAATATCGGATTCACGCTTTTCTCAGCAGCAAAAACGGTTACCACAAGATAGAAATGGGTTACCACACCAAGAGCGGTACCCAGAACACGAGCGGTTACAACAAGATGTGGGGTTACCACAGAGCAACGGGTTACAGCTGCCACCTGTTCTCTTTGGTTACGCCGCTGATTCCTTCTCCCACGTTCAATCTCATCCGTCCATTCCTTTCTGCTCCTCCACTCTGCAACATCCTACCACCCCCACTCAACCCATCTGTGATCATCCTTCCACCACTCCCACTACCCCTTCCCCTACCATTTCCTCCACTGCCTCTCCCTCCCCCGTCTCTCCCCCTTCCACTTACTCCAAGTCTTCTACTGGCTCCCAGACCATCCCCTTTATAAGATCAGCATCGGAGAAGCCTATAAGAGTTAGCCTCCGCGCTACACCGAATTTGGAATCCTCCTTAGAAAATTCTCTGACTCAGAACCAGCAGCAGCAGCAGAACCAACATCAGCTAAAGCTGCAACATCAGCAACGTCAGCAGCAGCACCACCACCAACAACACACAGCCGCATCCTTCCTGCCGCCTCCTCTTACCGCCTCCCCTCCTCCTCTCAACTCTCTTCCTCCTCTCCCCCAAAACCTTGAGATTGACTGCTCATACTTGATTGGCTGTGATGGCGCTAACAGCAGCATCCGGGCGGCGAGTTTTGTCCCGGCTCAACCATCCCAAAGACCAGACGAGTCAGGCGACGCAGCCAATCATAGCCGCGGAAAAGAAGAGGCCGAGCAGTTGTTCATGCAGGGGCAGAGGGGGGGAGGGGAACTGCATCAAGTGACAATGCAGGGGCACAGGCAGCTGCAGCGGGTGCTGTCGGTGCATTTCTCCTCACGCCCACTCGGGTTGAGGCTGCTGGCGCTGCCCCGCCCAGCGATGCTCTATTTCGTGTACAACACAGAGGGGGTCGGGGTGGTGGTGGCGCACTGCTTGAGAGAAGGAGAGTTTGTCGCCCAGGTGAGGGCACTGAGGCACTGTGGAAAGGGTGTGGTTGCGCTGGCTGCCCCGCCCCGCCATGCTCTATTTCGTGTACAACAGCGAGGGGGTCGGTGTGGTGGTGGCGCACTGCTTGAGAGAGGGAGAGTTTGTCGCGCAGGTGAGAAGTACGTTTGAGGCACCCCAGTTGTCGCTGCCCCGCCCTGCCATGCTCTATTTTGTTAACAACAGGGAGGGTCAGGGTGGGGGTGGCGCACTGCTTGAGAGAAGGGGAGTTTGTCGCGCAGGTGAGGAGCACGTTTGAGGCACCCCAGTAGGCTCTGCCCCGCCCCGCCCCAGTAGGCTCTGCCCCGCCCCGCTCCAGTAGGCTCTGCCCCGCCCCGCCATGCGCTGCTCTGTGTACCACAGGGGAGGGCGTGGGGGTGGGGGTGGCGCACTGCTTGAGGGAAGGGGAGTTTGTTGCCCAGGTGAGGGAATTGAGAGTGTTTAGCAGCTCGGGTAAGGTGGATTGTTGAGTGCGTTATCGCATCCATCCATACCCCCTCCCTCCTCATTCTCCCCACTCTCGTCGTTCTTCTTATCTTACTTATCTCGTCTCCTACTCTCCAACCCTCCACTCCGCCCACAATACTTGCCCCCTCCTTCTTGCCCTCCCCTAAAACTCTCCATGGCTTTTGAGAATTCTCAACAGTGCCTCTTACTCTCTCCAACCCTCCGCCCACATCGCATTGCCTCGTACTCTCTCCAACCCTCCGCCCACATCGCATTGCCTCGTACTCTCTCCAACCCTCCGCCCACATCGCATTGCCTCTTCCTTCTTCTTCTTCCCTGCGGCTCCCCATGTCCTAGATTCCTCTCTACTCGGACGGCAAGAATGTGCCATCACAAGAGGTAAGTGATTTGATTATTTTTTAACGGTAGCTCAGCCATTTAGGACTGAAAATTTTGTGCTATATGTAAGCAATCAAAGGAGGTGAGTGGTTCGATCATATTTTCTAAGGCACCTCCACCAATCAAAGGTGGTAACTTCTGTTATCAGGGTTCGAACTCGTGCAAAACGTCAGGGATGCACACTACTATGGTACTGTTCACACAGGTTGACAGATTGGTAAGCAACTTGAGTTTCCAGGGAGATTTTTCTGTTTCATGATTTACTCAAAAGTCACCTTGATTTGCTTCACGCATGTGTTTCTTCCCTTGGTTGTGCTTTGCTGCTGATCTCAATCCCCTCTATCTTACTCCTGCCACCCCACCTCATGAACACAGGGCTGCGAGTGCATGGTGCGAGCAGGCAAGCACTGAAGGAAATCCCCCCACTGAAGAATGAAGGAATTCCTTCTCACATTCTTTCCTTCAGTCAATCTCTCACAGGGCTGCGAGCGCATGGTGCGAGCACTCGGAGACCCCGCCGTTAACAGCACTCGGAGACCCCGCCGTTAACAGCACTCGGAGACCCCGCCGTTAACAGCACTCGGAGACCCCGCCGTTAACAGCACTCGGAGACCCCGCCGTTAACAGCACTCGGAGACCCCGCCGTTAACAGCACTCGGAGACCCCGCCGTTAACAGCACTCGGAGACCCCGCCGTTAACAGCACTCGGAGACCCCGCCGTTAACAGCACTCGGAGACCCCGCCGTTAACAGCACTCGGAGACCCCGCCGTTAACAGCACTCGGAGACCCCGCCGTTAACAGCACTCGGAGACCCCGCCGTTAACAGCACTCGGAGACCCCGCCGTTAACAGCACTCGGAGACCCCGCCGTTAACAGCACTCGGAGACCCCGCCGTTAACAGCACTCGGAGACCCCGCCGTTAACAGCACTCGGAGACCCCGCCGTTAACAGCACTCGGAGACCCCGCCGTTAACAGCACTCGGAGACCCCGCCGTTAACAGCACTCGGAGACCCCGCCGTTAACAGCACTCGGAGACCCCGCCGTTAACAGCACTCGGAGACCCCGCCGTTAACAGCACTCGGAGACCCCGCCGTTAACAGCACTCGGAGACCCCGCCGTTAACAGCACTCGGAGACCCCGCCGTTAACAGCACTCGGAGACCCCGCCGTTAACAGCACTCGGAGACCCCGCCGTTAACAGCACTCGGAGACCCCGCCGTTAACAGCACTCGGAGACCCCGCCGTTACCAGCACTCGGAGACCCCGCCGTTACCAGCACTCGGAGACCCCGCCGTTAACAGCACTCGGAGACCCCGCCGTTAACAGCACTCGGAGACCCCGCCGTTAACAGCACTCGGAGACCCCGCCGTTAACAGCACTCGGAGACCCCGCCGTTAACAGCACTCGGAGACCCCGCCGTTAACAGCACTCGGAGACCCCGCCGTTAACAGCACTCGGAGACCCCGCCGTTAACAGCACTCGGAGACCCCGCCGTTAACAGCACTCGGAGACCCCGCCGTTAACAGTACTCGGAGACCCCGCCGTTAACAGCACTCGGAGACCCCGCCGTTACCAGCACTCGGAGACCCCGCCGTTACCAGCACTCGGAGACCCCGCCGTTAACAGCACTCGGAGACCCCGCCGTTAACAGCACTCGGAGACCCCGCCGTTAACAGCACTCGGAGACCCCGCCGTTAACAGCACTCGGAGACCCCGCCGTTAACAGCACTCGGAGACCCCGCCGTTAACAGCACTCGGAGACCCCGCCGTTAACAGCACTCGGAGACCCCGCCGTTAACAGCACTCGGAGACCCCGCCGTTAACAGCACTCAGAACCATCCACTCTGTCAAGCCGTGGATCATGGCCGCCCAAGTCGCCTTCTTCCCTTTCCCCTGCATTCCCTCACTCTCTCACCACCAGGGCTGTGAGCACATGGTGCGAGCACAAGAAGAGGATTCATCCCTCATGGTGCGAGCACAAGAAGAGGATTCATCCCTCATGGTGCGAGCACAAGAAGAGGATTCATCCCTCATGGTGCGAGCACAAGAAGAGGATTCATCCCTCATGGTGCGAGCACAAGAAGAGGATTCATCCCTCATGGTGCGAGCACAAGAAGAGGATTCATCCCTCATGGTGCGAGCACAAGAAGAGGATTCATCCCTCATGGTGCGAGCACAAGAAGAGGATTCATCCCTCATGGTGCGAGCACAAGAAGAGGATTCATCCCTCATGGTGCGAGCACAAGAAGAGGATTCATCCCTCATGGTGCGAGCACAAGAAGAGGATTCATCCCTCATGGTGCGAGCACAAGAAGAGGATTCATCCCTCATGGTGCGAGCACAAGAAGAGGATTCATCCCTCATGGTGCGAGCACAAGAAGAGGATTCATCCCTCATGGTGCGAGCACAAGAAGAGGATTCATCCCTCATGGTGCGAGCACAAGAAGAGGATTCATCCCTCATGGTGCGAGCACAAGAAGAGGATTCATCCCTCATGGTGCGAGCACAAGAAGAGGATTCATCCCTCATGGTGCGAGCACAAGAAGAGGATTCATCCCTCCCCATCGCCATCTGCGTTGCCAAGCCCTGGATCATGGCCGCTCAAGTCGCCTCCCTCCCCTTGCCCCTCCACTCTTCTAACCGCTCCTTCCCCTCTCACCTATCAATAGCACTGTGAGCGCATGGTGCGGGCACTCATACGGGATTCATCCATCCCCATCACCATCCGTTCTGCCAAGCCGTGGATCACAGTGGCTCATGTCGCCTCCCTCCTTATCCCCTCCCACCCTGCTCACTCGTTTACAGGACTGTGAGCGCAAGGTGCGGGCGTTGATAGGGGATTCTTCCATCCCCATCGCCATCCGCTCTGTCAAGCCCTGGATCATGGCTGCTCAAGTCGCCTCTCACTACCTCGCTGCACCGCCGCCGACCACTTCACACCGCCCAGCACCAGCACTGCTTGCGGCTTCGTCCCACGTCGCCTCACAAAACCTCTCCACACCACCACCAACCGCTTCGCATCACCCGACACCTTCGCACCACCCCGCACCAGCACTGGGCAGTGAGGGGCATAACACTGGGGAGGGGTACGACTTATACGACTCATATGAGCCGCGTGTCATCCTAGTCGGGGATGCAGCCCACCGCTTTCCCCCGGCTGGTGGCTTTGGTACGTGTGTATAGATACCTTCAACTGCTTCACACTGTCCATCACCACCAGCTCCGGGCAGTGAGGGGCATAACACTGGGGAGGGATGCGAGTCATACGACTCATATGAGCCGCGTGTCATCCTAGTCGGGGATGCAGCCCATTGTTTCCCCCCTGCTGGCGGCTTCGGTACGTGTGTGTAGAATAGAGTCCTGTAGCTCCCATGTCAGTTCCAATCCAAACATGCGAAACATGTGGGCAGAGAGTGAGGGGCGTCTCTCTGGGAAGGGATATGATTCATATGAGCCGCGAGTCATTCTAGTGGGGGATGCAGCTCACCGCTTCCCACCAGCTGGCGGCTTTGGTACGTGTGTCTGTAGACCTAGCTACCATGCCAGTCGGCTTTGCTCTCTTTGTGGAGTGACCACTTGCAGAAGGGTGACAAGCAGATAAGGAGGGATATGAGCCGCGAGTCATTCTAGTGGGGATGCGGCTCACCGCTTCCCACCAGCTGGCGGCTTTGGTACGTGTGTCTGTAGACCTAGCTACCATGCCAGTCGGCTTTGCTCTCTTTGTGGAGTGACCACTTGCAGAAGGGTGACAAGCAGATAAGGAGGGATATGAGCCGCGTGTCATTTTAGTGGGGGGTGTGGCTCATCGTGCTGCAGGGTGTTTGTGAGAATTCTCAAAAACACCCTGCAGCATTGTGGCCCATCACTTTCCCCCGGCCGTCGGCTTTGGTACGTGTGGACGTATGGACCACCCCATGTCAGCTCCAAAAATGCACATGATGTGGGCAGTGAGGGCGAAACCTTGTGAGGGCGAAACCTTGTGAGGGCGAAACCTTGTGAGGGCGAAACCTTGTGAGGGCGAAACCTTGTGAGGGCGAAACCTTGTGAGGGCGAAACCTTGTGAGGGCGAAACCTTGTGAGGGCGAAACCTTGTGAGGGCGAAACCTTGTGAGGGCGAAACCTTGTGAGGGCGAAACCTTGTGAGGGCGAAACCTTGTGAGGGCGAAACCTTGTGAGGGCGAAACCTTGTGAGGGCGAAACCTTGTGAGGGCGAAACCTTGTGAGGGCGAAACCTTGTGAGGGCGAAACCTTGTGAGGGCGAAACCTTGTGAGGGCGAAACCTTGTGAGGGCGAAACCTTGTGAGGGCGAAACCTTGTGAGGGCGAAACCTTGTGAGGGCGAAACCTTGTGAGGGCGAAACCTTGTGAGGGCGAAACCTTGTGAGGGCGAAACCTTGTGAGGGCGAAACCTTGTGAGGGCGAAACCTTGTGAGGGCGAAACCTTGTGAGGGCGAAACCTTGTGAGGGCGAAACCTTGTGAGGGCGAAACCTTGTGAGGGCGAAACCTTGTGAGGGCGAAACCTTGTGAGGGCGAAACCTTGTGAGGGCGAAACCTTGTGAGGGCGAAACCTTGTGAGGGCGACCCCTCCTCCCTTGTGAGGGCGACCCCTCCTCCCTTGTGAGGGCGACCCCTCCTCCCTTGTGAGGGCGACCCCTCCTCCCTTGTGAGGGCGACCCCTCCTCCCTTGTGAGGGCGACCCCTCCTCCCTTGTGAGGGCGACCCCTCCTCCCTTGTGAGGGCGACCCCTCCTCCCTTGTGAGGGCGACCCCTCCTCCCTTGTGAGGGCGACCCCTCCTCCCTTGTGAGGGCGACCCCTCCTCCCTTGTGAGGGCGACCCCTCCTCCCTTCCAACCCTCCACCCCACCCCACCCCAACCAGGCATGAACACGGGCATTCAGGACGCGCACAACCTCGCATGGAAGCTCGCAGCTCTGCTCCAAGGCACCGCCTCCCCCGCCCTGCTCGCCTCCTACGAGGCAGAGAGGCGCCCAGTGGCCGTGGAAAATACCCATTTGAGTGTCAGCAACTTCGAGTCTGCTCTGGCTGTCCCCAGAGCCCTGAGTCTGGAACCCAACGCTGCCAGGTGCGTGGGTGTTTCTGCTTCAAGGTACTGCCTCCCCCACCTTGCTCTCCTCCTACGAGGCAGAGAGGCGCCCGGTGACCATGGGGAACACACACCTGAGCGTCAGCAACTTCGAGTCAGCTTTAGCTGTGCCAAGAGCCCTGGGTCTTGAACCCAACGCTGCCAGGTGCGTCCACACCCACTGTAGGCGGAGAGGGGGAGAGGCAGAGAGGCGCCCAGTGGCTGTGGGCAACACTCACCTGAGCGTCAGCAACTTCGAGTCAGCTTTAGCTGTTCCCAGAGCTCTGGTTCTTGAACCCAACGCTGCCAGGTGCGTGGGTGCTGACTGACTCCTCTCTCACCTTAGTGGAGCCAGTGGAACAAGAGCTCTGCTCTGCTCTGCTCGTCTCCAAGGCACTGCCTCTCCCGGCCTTGTACGAGGCAGAGAGGCGCCCAGGGGCTGTGGGAAACCCTGGGCCTGGAGCCCAATGCTGCCAGGTGCGTGAGTGCCGACTGACTCCTCTCTCTCTCTCCTTAGTGGAGCCAGTGGGTCAAGAGCTCTGCTCTGCTCCACCCTCTCCCCTCCCCCCCTGCCCTGCTCGCCTCGTACGAGGCGGAGAGACGCCCAGTGGCCGTGGGGCCCAGCGGAGGGAAATACAAACTTCAGTGTGAATAACGTGGAGTCTGCCCTGGCTGTTCCCAGAGCCCTGGGTCTGGATGGAGCCCAATGCTGCCAGGGAGTGAGCATGTATGTGCTGCAGAAGGAGGAGGTGTAGAGGTTGATTTTGAGAATTCTCAAAATCAACCTCAACGTTGCTGAGAGTCAAGAGAGTGCTTCCAAGTGGGGTGGGAAAGGTAGATAGTAGCTGTTGAACTCTCTACTCTTGAGAATTCTCAAAAGGATGTAGAGATGGTTTCTGAGAATTCTCAAAAGGATGTAGAGAGATGCACAGTTGGCGTGACCAACACTCGCCTTCCTTCCCTCCTTCCCTCTTTCCCTTCTCCCGTCACCCAGCCTTTTCTCAGCTGCCCTTACCTCTTCAACAGCCAATCGGTTCCTGCCACGTCAGCTCCAGGCGACCCTCATAGAGGCTGGGCTAGCAGCAGGCCGACAGCTGCTGCTCTCTGATTGGCTGCTGAACCCAGCAAATCCAGTGGGGAAGGAACGGTTGGCAGCGGTGCAGAGGAGTTTGGAGGAGGGGAAGAGCCTGCAGCTGCTGTTCCCACAGCACGACCTGGGATTCAGGTGAGGATGGGTGGAGGTGAGTGGGGATGGGTGGGATGGGCGGGAATGTGTGGGGATGGGTGGGGGTGGGTGGGGATGTGTGGGAATGAGTGGGGATGGGTGGGGATGGGCGGGGATGTGTGAGGATGGGTTTGGATGGGTGGAATCGTTTGTTGCCCCATCCCTCTCCAACCCCATTCTCACAGGTGCCATTGTAACTGGGACTCTTTTGAGAATTCTCCAGCGACTCAGATTTAGCCGTGAGAGTTCTGACTCGAGTCAAAACCGTTACTGGGCTCGTCCCCTATTCATCCTTCTCCCTTCATCTGCACCCCCAACCCAACTCAACCCCAATTCTCCTCTTAGGTACAAGAAGGCTGCTGTGCTCCTGTCCCTTACAGACGCCCGTAAAGCAGCAGCATGTGACTCACAAGCAACGTGAAATAAGAGTGTTTTTGAGACGTCTCAAATGCACTCCCAACTCCAACCCAATGCACTCCCAACTCCAACCCAATCGCCCTCTCAGGTACAAGGGCGCTCTGTCTCTTTCCCCCTCAGACGCCCGTGAAGCAGCAGCATATGACTCCCACGCACACACAGCCACCTCCACCTCCTTCACTCCCTCCACTCTCCCTGGTGCCCGCCTGCCACACCGCACGCTCACCCTGCTGCTTCCGCGTTCTGGCTCGAAGGGCAACCCACCCCAGCTCAACTTTGAAACTGTAAGTTACTCTTCCTCTTGCTGCCACCTCCACCTCCTTCACTCCCTCCACTCTCCCTGGTGCCTGCCTGCCACACCGCACGCTCACCCTGCTGCTTCCGCACCACAGGTTCAAGGGTGCTCCGCCCCGCCCCAGCTCAACTTGCAAATCGTGAGTCACTGGCTTGCTTTCAGGCCGCGTTTCCCTTCACTCCCTCCACTCTCCCGGAAGGAGGAGGAAGGGAGGGCAGCAGCAAGGTGAGTGTGACCCTCCTGCTTTCGGCCTCCCGCTTGCCGCACCGCACGCACGCTCACCCTGCTGCTGCCCAGCTGCAACAACCACTGACCAGGCTCCAGCTTGAAGGCACGTCGTTCCACAGGTATTTGCATGGTGCTTCTCTTTCTTCCATCGACCTCTCAACTCTCGGATCCATTACCCCAATCTTCGCTTCCCTCTCGGCCCCAGACTCCCCTCTGACCCACTTCCTCCCACTTCTCCGCAAGCACTACTGAACTTAGTATTCCCACTTCTCTCTCCTACCCTGTTTCCCCCATCCCTCCCACCACCTTGCATGCAGGGCACTTCAATCTCCTCCATCAACCTCTCCCCTCTCGGCTCCATCACCCCCGCTCTCCTCCTCCCTCTTGGCCCCCACACTGCCCTCTGGTTCACCTTTTCTCCCAGACACTCCTTCCCAAACTCAATCCAACATATCCCCCTCTATCTACCGCGTCCATTCCACCCATCTTGTGTGCAGGGCCCTTCACTTTCCTCCATCTACCTCTCCCCTCTCGGCTCCATCACCCCCACTCTTTTCCTCTCTCTCTCCTCGCACACTCTCCTTTGTCTTGCCTCCTCACTCTCTCCTGACTCGCTCCTTCTCAAACCCAATTTAACAATCCCCCCTCTCTCTGCCCTGTCCATTCCACCCATTTTGTGTACAGGGCCCTTCCATTTCCTCCATCGACCTCTCTCCTCTCGGCTCCATCACCCCCACTCTCCTCCTCCCTCTCGGCCCCCACACTCCCCTCTGGCTCGCCACCTCCCTCCACGCACACTCCCTCACTCGCCTTCCCCTCCGCCTCGCCCTTCTCGCCCCCCACCCCTCCTCCTTCTCCCCTCTCCCTTCCCTCCTTGCCCCTCTCGGCCTCTGCATAGAGCCTGCTAGCATGGAAGGGGGTGGTGGTAACCGTGTAACAGGGAAGGGAGCCAGTGCAAGTGGATTAAGTGGTAACAGTGTAACAGGTGGTGCAAGCGATGTGGGTTCACCTTCCCCCTGCCTCCTCTCGTCTTGGACCCTCAGGCCTATTCCTAGTGCTGCCAGCACACCAGCTTCTGTAGCTGCGACCGATGCTGCTTCTGCTGGTGTAATTGCTGCTGGTGTTGCAGATGCTGCTGCTACTGATGCTGCTCGTCCTGCTCATGTTTTATTTGCTTCTGATACAGCTGCTACAGCTGCTACAGCTGCCGCTGGCTTGAGTCACATGCCTCTCAAAGTCCTACTCTTAACAGACGGCACCCCACCTGAGCACCAACATTGCGGTATAGCTGGTTCAGAGTGCAGGGGTGAAGCAACGGGCATGGGAAGGGCCGCTAACACAGCAGGAGGGAAGGGAGAGTGGTTGGCGTGGCTGGCAGGGGTGGGGGATTTGGGTGCTGTTCTTGTGAGGCCTGATGGGCATGTGGCATGGCGAATGATGCACCCACCTGCTGCTGAAACTGGCAGTGGTGCTGATGGGTTTGGCAGCGGTGGTAATGGAACTGGCAGTGGTGCTGTTGGGAATGGCACTGGTGCTGATGGGATTGGCAGCGGTGCTGCCGAATCTTGTGGTGGCATGCTGTCACACGAGACCATGTCAGAAGCTGCTGGTGCCATAGCAAGAGCGTTGCGATGTGTATTTGGATGGGAGGACTAGTTCAATAAATTGCAGGAGTGATTGCATTCATAGTGCAGTGTACATTCAAGTTACAAGGTGTACATTTTTTAAGAAACGTGTATATGTTTTTCACTAGTGAGCAACACGATACTAATTCTGGTGAATACGTAGGAGTACAGATGTTTGTACATTATCTCCTTCTACATATATTCAAGATTTTTTGCAGACCTCTTAGCTGTTGGGCTGAGATAGCCCCTTAGGATCTTTGCAAGGGATAACTCTAGGTGAAGTAGTTGTAATAGCGGAAGCGTTTAGTGAAGAATTTGAACCGACCTTGCACTGGTGTGTGAGAGCAAAGTTGATTGAATTAAACAAGCAAATACAAGGATTTATATAAGAGTACAGGGAATACGAATAGATATGTAGATAACTGTATTGCTGTTGCGGTTCGATACAGTGCGACTCGGGCAACTGCTCTGTAGCGAGTCAGTTGTGTGTCCTTAACTGTCGCGCTGTAATTGTCGAGTCAAAGGTCAGCGACCTTTGACTTTCTCGTAACCTCCAGGCGGTTACCCTAACCTCCGAGGTTGACTCGATGCTCCGATTGGGACTGCTTCGCTTGGTGCCTTGGGTTTTGATACGACAGAAGCGCACTTAGGACTTATTGTTTCCAACACTCCCCTTCGCTTCTGGAGTGTCGCTGCTGGTGACGTGGCCTTGTCCAGTCAGCATCATGCAGTATTCGAACTTCTGCTTTCCGAGTTTCTTGGTCAAGTAATCGGCTGCCATCTCGGATGTTGGGCAGTATGACAGATCGAGTTTCCCCTTTTCTATCTCGTCCTTCACGAAGAAATAGCGCAGGGCGATGTGTTTCGTCCTGTTTGCGAAGCCGTTTTTGTTGGCGATGCGAATTGCTGACTGGTTGTCGCAGAACACGGTGAAGCTGGGTAACTCGGCTAGCTTCGCTTCTTCCAGTAGTTCGCGAAGGTAAAGTCCCTCCTTGGTGGCTGAGCAGAGTGCAATATATTCTGCTTCTGCTGAAGATAGTGCGATTAACTCCTGCTTGCTCGACTGCCAGGAGATAGGACCGATAGGCTCAAGGCGGTAGACATAGCCGGTGCGTGAGCGCCTGTTGTCGGTGTCGCCGGCGTGATCGGCGTCGACGTAGCCGATTAGCTTAGTTGGTGTAGCTGCGCTCTTGTGGTAGGTTAGCCCGATCGTCGCGGTGCTGACGAAGTAGTGGAGAGCGCGATCAAGTTCCGCCAGGTGTTCAGCTTCAGGCTTCTTGAGATAGGTGGCGAGCTGACTTGCGGAGTAGGATAAGTCAGGGCGGCAGGTGACGGCGGCGAATAGCAGGCATCCGAGCTTCTTCTGATAGTCGCGTATGCCGGCGGGCTTGAGTAGAGTAGTTCGTTCCTTCTCGGTTCCTGATGTATAGCGGTAGGGCGTGGAGATGGCGCTTGGTGTGAGGCTGAAGCGTTTCGCGATGGTGTCGGCGTATTTCTCGGCGCTTAGATAGATGGCGTTTTCTTCTTCGCGGATGTTGAGCCCGAGGTACTGTGTAACGGTGGAGGAGACCGTGAGCGTGAGATCTTTCTGGAGCTCTCCTTCGAACCACGTGGCGATGCCGTCGGTCGACCCAATGTAGAGGAGATCGTCCACGTAGACGATCAGGAGAACGTAGTCGCTTCCCTTAGTGAGGCGGTACATGCCTTGGTCGTGAGGTAGTTGACTAAAGCCGATGCGGATGAGACGGGCGTGCAGGTACTGCTGCCACAGTCGCGGTGCTTGCTTGATCCCGTAGAGCGACTTAAGTAGTTGACAGATTCGGTTGGGTTTGCCGTGGGAACCGTGCGGGAGCTCGACGTAGATTTCTGCATCCACAGGTGCGTAGAGGAAGGCATTCGCTACGTCGATCTGCCGTAACTTCTTCTTCTTCATGGCGGCAATGGCGAGGAGAATTCGGAGTGACGTGTGGCGGCTGACTGGAGCAAAGATCTCGGTGAAGTCTCGTCCTTGCTCTTGGTCGAATCCACGTACGACCCAGCGTGCTTTGAATTTTTCGATCGTGCCGTCTGCTTTCGTCTTGATGCGGAAGACCCATTTCCCGGTAAGGATGGTTTTGTTCCGTGCCACGCTTACGGGAACAACCTTCCAAGTGTTGCGTTCCTCTAATGCCTTCAGTTCTCTATCCATGGCTTCACGCCATTTCTCCCTGTGTTCCCCCCCCAGAGCCTGCTGAACCGTTGCAGGCTCCTGAGGAAGCGAGCTGCGTGTGTTCCCGTGGACTGCGGTGACGAGGCCGAGGATTTGCAGCCCAGTCTGTGAGTATCGAGGGAGTTCTGGATCCTCGGGATAAGCTGCTTCGTCTCCCGCTTCTGGATCAGGGATGAAATTCGGTCCTATCCTTTCTGCTTCATTTGTGTTGACGGTTGCAGGTGTTACGTAACCGGTGTCGGCGAAGTGGTAGAAGACTTCGGCGTTGTTACTGTCGCGAGGATTTTCTTCGTCCATGGGCACGTTGACGGAGCAGTACGGGAGAGGTCCGGCTTCTGCCGATGCGTTGTCAACATTCTGCTCGTCCCAGTCTGCTTCATCCGCTGCTGATGCGAAGGCTCGGTCACCACGAAAACCACTGGTGAGGTCCCGATTCTCGTGCAAGTTGGCGAGGTACGTCTGAAGGGTGAGTCTTTCGTAGAAGATCACGTCACGTGCTGCTACTGTTTCCTTTGTGTGGACGTCGAAGATTCTCCATGCGTTGTAATTTTTCTCGATGCCGAGGTGTAGTCCCCACTGTGCCCGTTGCGAAAATCTTCCCGCTCGTGCTTCTGGGGGTCTGTACTGTACCATGCACCCGAAAACTCGTAACATTTTCGTGATGCCCTGCTTCCCTGTCCACAGCAGATGCGGTGATGCGTTGTTCGGGAGTGACGACGACGACAACAAGTTGTGCAGCATGACAGCGTGGTCCATTGCTGCTGGCCACTGGTGGTTGGGTAGCCGCATGCCACGTAACAGTTTGCGCATGCTGTTCTGCAGGGTCCTGTTCAGTCGTTCTGCAACACCTTGCTGCTGATGTGCGTAGGGAAGGGAGAGGAGTTGCTTGATCCCCCTTTCCGCCAAGAACTGCTTGAAGCGGTGAGAGGTGTACTCGCCACCTCCGTCTGACTGGAAATTTTTTAGTTGTGTTCCAGACTCTCTCTCTGCTATCGGTAGCCAGGCGGCGAATGCTGCGAGTGCCATGTCGCGGCTGGGTAGGTTGCGATGCCAGACGTATCGAGTGGCGGCGTCGATGAAGGTGATGGTGTAGTTGTAGTTGACTTGTCCTGGTTCGCGATTGTAGAGGATGTCGCTGTAGACTTTTTCGAGTGGTGCGTACGCTGGAGCGCTCGGGTTGTGATGTGAAGCAAACGGTCGATGAGGTAAGTCAGCTTCGGGACATATAAGGCAAGTCCCTCGTGCCTTCTGGAGTTCTCTGCCATCGGGTAGAAGTAGAGAATCTTTGTCAAGGACTCCTGCTCTTATCGTGTTATTCAAAACCGTGTTGCTTGGATGTCCTGTTCGTGCGTGCCAGATCTCTTCAGAGGCGCGGTGTCCAGGTGAACGCTGATATGCGTCGGAGTTGGAGTAAAAGCTGGCGACGAGGTTGGCGCTTCGGTGGACTTCACGTTGAGTCGGATTCAGCTGTTGTGCGGGTGTTGGTGGTGCTTCGTTGACTGTGACTGGTGTCGTTGTTTCTGCTGCTGCTGATGTTGTTGCTGCTGCCGATGTTGTTACTGCTGCCGATGTTGTTGCTGCTGCCGATTGTCGAATTGTTGCTAATGCTCGTGTTCGTTCTGCTTCAGGAATGGTGTGCGAGTACCAGAAGCCTCCCGGGCTGAAGTCGGGGTCGAGATCCGGAGGGTGTGTCCAATCAGTGAAATTCACGATGGCGTCGCTGTCTGCAGTGCCGAGGTCAGGAACGAAGTCGAGGACGAAGACGTTGTTCTTCAGCACTGCTTTTCCGATGTAGAGACCGCCTCTCCCGTGGTAAAGCTTGAACTCCTGGGTCGTGCTGTCGGCTTCCAGATGAATTCCTTTCGCCATCAACTGGCTAACGCTCAGTAAGTTGTAGCCGAGTCCTTCAGCGATGAGTACCTTAGACATGTGCAGTATGACGTTTGTTTCTCTTGACTGAAGTTGTACCACTCCTTGTCTTCGTGTGCGCAGGTTTTGGTTGTTGGCAACCGTGATGATTACTTCCCGTTGGAGTCGATGTTCGCGTTGTACGAAACGCCCGGACGAGCACATGTGTTGCCCGCAGCAACTGTCCAAGAACCAGGTGTCTTGGCCGGACGGTTCACTTTGAGCGATGGCGGCGTACGTTGGATTCGGCTGGAGTAGCTCACGGCGAGGCGTTCTGTTGTCAAGCTCTTCTTCCGGTGAGTAGTGTGGTGGTGATTCGGTTGTACACGAATCGGTTATCTTCGTCATGCAGTTGATTATGTTTCTTGCTCCTCGTGCAGGTTGTGAAGTCGTTGAAGCTTGAATAGTGGTCGTCGCACTTGCTTGTGTTGAAGCCATTTGGGAGCTTGAAGGTCGAAGTTGTCGCTGTGATGCCGTTGATTGCTGACGATTCGGGCAGTGTGTGCGCGGGTGCCCTGAAGTCTTGCAGATGTGGCAGAAAGGAGGTACTATCTTCGGTTGCTGCTGTCGGTTGTTATAATTGCTGTGTCGTCGTTGAGTGTGGAATGCGAACTCTGATACTGTCGTTTTCTTCCTGTGTCGTTCTTCCTGCAGGTCCATATCTTGTTGCTCGGCATGTATTTCGGCGCAGAGTGCAGCTTCAGAGATTCTTCCGTGGGCTCGAAGAATGGCTTTGGTGGCGCGCCACTGAGGACCAAGCCCACCAATGATGACTGTCACGAAGGCGTCTTCAGAGATTGACCCTCCGCATCGAAGCAGCTTGTCGCGTAGTTCGCGACATCGGCTGATATACGCCAGTCCTTTTTCTCCTGGTTTCATTTCAACTGTCGTCAACTGCGCCATTAACCTGCTCTGGTTTACACTGTCTGTTGCTTGATACAGGTTCTTCAGATGGCTGTACGCGAGCTCCGCCGAGTTGCCGAAGGTCCGGTAAGAGCGAATGTTCTGCTGCTGAGTTGGTGTCACGTTCCTCAATAGGATTGTATACGCCATCATTGATTGATACGTATACTGCTGCTTTTCATATTGTGTCCCGTTGGCTGGATACTGCAGGGACCCGTCGAAGAAGCCGAGTATCTGCGCGCCCTCCATCATCAGCTCGAATTCAAAGGACCAGGTAAAGAAGTCTTTGCCGTCGAAGGGTCTTGACGTTTGCAGTTTTAAGACGTGTGCAAACTGCGACTGAACTTGAAGTGCGTCCAGTGGTCTTTCTTGTCCAGGTGAAGGTTGCGGGTGGGGCACGAAGCTGATTGACCCGCGCTCGTACGGAGCAAAGGTAGGTTGCTGCTGCTGGTTTCCTCGCGCATATGACGACCCATCAAGACTCATGGGTGTCGCTCCATTGTTGCTGTTGTGTGTTTGTGCAGGTCCCGACTGCTGGTGTTGTTCGTAGAAGGACATGAAGGAGAAAAATTTCTCCATCATGTTCTGGTCAAAGTCCGAAGGGTGGTTCATGGGGGTTTCGGTTGACGTTCCTCTTGGTCTTGTTGCCGTGCCTTCTTCTGTCTGCAGGCCAGAGGCTGGCGGTGGAGTAGGAGTAGTGCCCGAGGAGCCATTAGGGGAGCTCCTTTCTTTGTTTGTTGCCATGTCTTGTAATGATCTTGAAAAAGGAGTAGAGTTTCCCTTGTCAGCTCTCATACCATGTTGGGCTGAGATAGCCCCTTAGGATCTTTGCAAGGGATAACTCTAGGTGAAGTAGTTGTAATAGCGGAAGCGTTTAGTGAAGAATTTGAACCGACCTTGCACTGGTGTGTGAGAGCAAAGTTGATTGAATTAAACAAGCAAATACAAGGATTTATATAAGAGTACAGGGAATACGAATAGATATGTAGATAACTGTATTGCTGTTGCGGTTCGATACAGTGCGACTCGGGCAACTGCTCTGTAGCGAGTCAGTTGTGTGTCCTTAACTGTCGCGCTGTAATTGTCGAGTCAAAGGTCAGCGACCTTTGACTTTCTCGTAACCTCCAGGCGGTTACCCTAACCTCCGAGGTTGACTCGATGCTCCGATTGGGACTGCTTCGCTTGGTGCCTTGGGTTTTGATACGACAGAAGCGCACTTAGGACTTATTGTTTCCAACATTAGCTTCAAAAGCGTCTGTTTCTAGATTGCTCAAACGTGCGCAACTTTCAAATCTGAAACTGTGTCAGAATTCGGGTGACGTCACCCTCCTAGATCAGCTTGATCTGCTCTACCCTCGAGAATACTGCAGTTACCGTTGCGTTGCGTTGCGTTGCGACGCGACTTCATTACACGCGGTTTACCGCGCATCCCGACTCGCAAAAATAATTTCATTTTGACTTTATTTGAATTTGTTTTAGAACTTTCGATTATCAGCTCGGAGCGCAGCAAAGTTCGACGCGCACTTCGACCTTTTCCTTTTTCCGCGGCCGTCAAAATGCGGGTCTTCCTAATCCTTGTCTTTGTCCTTCTCGCGGGTTGCGCTTCCCCGTCGAGAGGGCTTCAAGATTCATTAGGGTGAGACTTGCTTGGGTGACATTGTCAGAGTGAGATTTTGTTGGGTCCAGATTCGTTCCGGCATGAGATTCGTTTATATAATTTTCGTTAGGGTGAAACCTGTAACCGCGATTCTCAGCGAAGGTCTGGATTCGTTCCGGCATGAGATTCGTTTAAATAATTTTCGTAAGGGTGAAACCTGTAACCGCGATTCTCAGCGAAGTTTGTGGTTACAGAAGGAAGCTATGGTCGCCTCTCATCCCCTCTTCTTCACCTTGTCGCTTTGCTCGCCCTACTCTCGCTTTTCTCCTCCCCGCTGCTTCGCCTCTCAATCCCCTCATCTACGCTTTCATATTTAGCCCTCAAAAGTATCATAGCTTGGTCTATCGTCTCATCCCTTCCCCTCCCTAGTTTACTTCAACTCCAACCCAATCCACATCCTCACGCCACATTTCGACCAATCAGTACCAAGTGTTTGGGCTCCGAAAGGTTTCAAGTACCCTTCCTTCCTCCCTCTCCCCCCCTCCCCCCTCTTGCACTCCCCTCTCCACTTCCCCCTTCCTTTCCCCTCTCTCTTCCACTCCCTTCCCCACCACCATACCACCCCTCTTTCCCCCTCTCCCTTCCCCCCGCCTTCCCCTTTTCCCCCCTTCAATCTGGCATTGTCCATTCAGCATCAAGTGGGGGACTCCCGAGCACCTTTCCCTCCCTTCCCCAACCCCTCACTCCTCCCTCATTTCCCCCTTCCTTTCCCACTCGCTCCCTGCGTTGACCGATCAGCATCGAGTTCTGGGGCACCCCAGAGCTGCTCGAAGCACTCTTCCGCTCCTTCACCTTTCTCCCCAACCCCCAACCCCCAACCCCCAAACCCCAACCCCCTAACCCCAACCCCCAACCCCCAACCCCTTCCTTCATCGTCCCCCTTTTCAACCTTTTCCCCTGGCTTGACCAATCAGCATCGAGTTCTGGGGCACTCCCGAGCTGCTTCAAGCGCGCGAGGCCAAACTAGCCGCGTCATCTGCAAGCAGCAGAGGGAACAGCGAACCAAGCAGCGGCAGCAGCAGCAGCACAAGAGAGAGCAGCAGCGACGCACACAAGGATGTGGGGGGGATCCGGGGCGGGGCAGGGAGTGATCGTCTCACCACCCCTCTCACTGCCACCAGCTTTCCAACCTCAGGTGGAACCAGCAGTTTACTGACGCCTGGCGGTGATAGCAGCTCACTGAATCCTGCCACTGGTTTAAGAGGGTTTGGAACAGCAGGAGGTTCGGAGTGGACGTTTGATGAAAGCCGCGTTGTAAAGGTGTCGGCTACACCCAGGTACTGTACGATTTCTCTGTACCTATTTCGAATCGGTTATCGCCTGTACCTATTTCAGTTCAGCGGATTGCCGACTCCGAGAAAAGGGTGCGCTCAGTTACTTATGCCAATCTAATTCGTTCTGTTAAAGAACGGTTCAGTGAGGTTCAGTGAGGTAAAACTTGCCTCGTAGGATTTTAGTCAGGGTACTTTCTTGCTGGTAGTTTGGTTCCATGGGGTAGATTTTTTGTACCCCACTATTTTCTTTCTGCAGGATGTATGTGTAAGTTGTTAGATTTCACATATCACTGTACCCTGTGGTTCTGTGTCTGCAGGGTGTATGTGTATAGGGCTCCTGTCTTAATTGTACAAGAATACTGTACCCTGTGGATGTGGGTCTGTATCTGCAGGGTGTATCTGTATTAAGGGCTTCTGTTTTTATTGTACCCCGTGGTTCTCTGCCGCAGGGTGTATGTGTATAAAGGGCTCCTGTCTTCAGACGATTGTGCTTTCCTAGTGGCCATGGTGATTTTTATCTTCCAGCCTTTTTATTTCTCTTTAATCTCTCCACAGTCGTCATTTTTTCCAAAGTTGGGACAACTGCCAATTCATCTGTGTTCCCTCGGTTCATCAATCTCCCCCACACCCAGCTGCGGTACCAGCCAACCTCCTTCCTCCGCAGTTGTACTGCAGTAACTTACTCTGCCAACCATTTTGCTGCTTTCCTGCTGCTTATTGCTTTCACCTGCTGTCTGTTGCTTTCACCTGCTATCTGTTGCTTTCACGTGCTGTCTGTTGCTTTCACCTGCTGTCTGTTGCTTTCACCTGCTGCTTGCCTGGCAGGCAAAGCCAAAGATTGCCCAGCAGAAGCTGTTCAACGCCACGTATCTGCGCAAGTACCAGGCACGTGTGTGTGTGTGGGCGTGGTGGGTGAAGGGTGTATCAGGCATGTGACTATCACAGGCTGATGAGCGGTTTAACGCCTTGTATCTGCACAAGTATCAGATACAGAGATGCACGAATAATAACGCTTTATCATGAAGGATATTGGACTAGTCAACGCCTGTATCTGTGCAAGTACCAGGCACATGTGTGTGTGTGTGTGGGCATTGTGGGTGTATGGGTGTGATGCCAGTTTAGTGCCACAAAACTCAGCAGCACGCGCCCGGATGTGCTTCTTATTTGTTTGTAACTCCATTTTTTCCTCTTAAGAACACACGCCTTGAGGCTAAAGAGGACCAGATTGTATGTGGACTTCTGACTCGATTTAGATTGTACACAAGCTTTCTTGTCTGTTTGTGCTTTCTCCTTTCTTTTCTTCAGAACCCACGCCTTTGAGCCATAGAGGACCAGATTGCATCCTTCCTTTAACGTGCTTGCTTGTCTTTCCCAAACCCTAACCCCGGACTATTCTCCTTCCCTTCCTTCAGAACCCAGGCCTTCGGGCCATAGAGGACCGGAGTGCGTGTGAACTCTTAAGTTTGACTCAGATTGTTAACTTGCTTGCTTGTCTGTGTGTATCAATTCCTTCCTTTCCTTCAGAACCCACGCCTTCGAGCCATAGAGGACCAGATTGCGTCCTTCCTTTTTCTTCCCAGAGGTAAATGCCGGGCCTTTCATTCGTGCATTGTTTAGAGAGTATAGTAACCTAAATTCATTCACATTTGTTTTTGTTCTTTTGTCAATTTCCGCAATGACTTATCCAGTTGCCCCAGAACGCACTTAATATTCTTGAATCGCGTACAACATTCGATATTTCTTTTCTATCTTCTTTCCCAGAGGAACTTGCCTAAGTTCCAGTTCATTGCATTGACATTGATTTTGTTTTCTCGATTGCCTCCTTGCTCATCCTAGCTAGCTGTATCCAAACCTGGCCATTAGGTATGGACCAACCCAGGCCATCAGGGATGGGCCCAGCCGTGGGGTGCAGCTGAGGCTGTGCCACAAAATCTTTTGGCCTTTAGGCACCACCTTTTGTTGCTTTCCCTTGTCCGAACCAGACCCGCAGGCTCGGACACAGGTTCGGTTCAACGAGGGTCAAGCATATGACGTGCATCTGGAGTTTTACCGGGATAACGTTGACACGCAGAGGTCCGGCCACCGGGTGGCAACGCTTGTCCTTTTCCTCTCGGATGTCCAAAAAGGCGGCGAAGTGAACTTCCCCCAGGGCAAGGTACTGTAGGATAAAATTTATCCGTTTATCCTAGTTTTTTTTTAAATATCGAATAAAATAGGTGGGCACTACATGAACACCAATCGGCTGTATGTCAACAACTCTCTGCCATACCATCACATCTCTCGCTAATTTCTCGCATTTCCCCCCCATTTCCCGTCCCTCCCTCCAGTCAGAGCACTCACATTGGCCCTGGGACTCATCCCTCTCGCCATGTCTGCTAGTTGCTGCAGTTACATCTCTCGCTATTTTCTTGCATCCCCCCCCCCCTCCCCCTCTCTTTCCCATCGCTCCCCCCAGTCCGAGCACTCACATTGGCCCTGGGACTCGTCCCTCTCTCCATGTGCCCGCCAAGGCGTGTCAGGTATGTGTGCTGAATGGTATAGATAGTTTACATTATGTACATGGTGGAGAATGAGTCGTGCTTTGAGTTGACTCAGAACACGACTCATTTCGCATGGTCTCTATTGTTTAATTAGTGGACATGGAGTAGAATTTCATCTCCATTCTTTGTCGAATCCTTTCCTGCCTCCCTACACATAAGCCCTTACTCTCAGTCACACCAGTCAAAGGAGATGTGCTGCATTTGTTTCTTATGAAACCAATCTGGTACCATGATCCTTCCCCTTCCCGCCTTCCGTTCCCATGCCCCCCTCCCTCCCTTAATACCCACAAATTCCACTCAGTCCCACCAGTCAAAGGAGATGTTTGCTCTACTTCCAAGTAACCATGCCTGATTACCACGACCTTACTTCTTTCCTCCCCACCCCCTCTCCCATTTTCAACCCCCAATATCAAACCAACCAGTCCCACCAGTCTAAGTAGATGCTCTGCTCTTCTTCCCTTTCTGCCATCACCCTTCTCATATCTCCCTCCCCCTGCCCCTGAATCGCTTTCCTCAGTCCCACCAGTCAAAGGAGACGCACTGCTGTTTTTTCAAGTAACCGCATCTGGTTACCACGACCCCTCTGCCGCCCGCCGAAACTGCCCGGTTCTCGAGGGCCCACCCAAGTGGACGGCAGAAAAATCTATCGCTATCCAGAAGTACACTGCGCGGAGGGATTTGATTGGGTGCGTGGACGAGCATCCGTTCTGCAAGATTTGGGCGGCACAAGGGGAGTGCAAGGGGTATAATGATTATATGATTGGGAATCAGGAGTCGTTTGGGTTCTGTAGAAAGTCGTGCAAAGCTTGTACCTAGCCGGAAAATCAATAGATGTGTTCAAATACAATTGGCGGAGGGATCTGATTGGGTGTGTGTGTGTGGACAAGCATTTGTGTAGCGAAAAGTGGGTGGTGTAAGGAGAATTTTACGCTAATATATATTTAAGCGATATGCGAAGCATCAATTGGGGCCGTGTTCCTACAGCCGCTTATTAGACAAACCCGATTCGCGAGCATGAATCCTCGAGATAACCGCCCCCCGAAGGGTTCTGTATACACATTAACAGAAACAAGCAACAATATATCAAGTAGTTATATTATGTACAGTCCAGGTAAGGAAATTTGCAGATGACGAATGGCAAGCGTCTAATTGTTTCGCACCAGCCACAATCGAGATGAAGTGCTGGCTTCTGTGTCGCTCACAATCACCCCTGAATGGTGGGAGCTGCTGGAAAGAAGTCGAATTGGCCCCCTCCACGTTCTCACACGAGTAAGCCACGTCAGCTTGAATTTAGGTCAGCGCAATCTGAAACCGAGCCACACTACACCCACACTGTACCCACACTATACCCACGTCAGCTTGACTCAAAAGTTTCTACGGGAGCCAACTGACAGGCGACCCTGCACGCTGATTAGACGTACCTCACCTTTGTTGGAGTTTCGTGGCAACGACGTGATGCTCTGATCAAATGATGACGACCAATGGTTCTGCACAGAACATCAACATCCAGATCCGGATCAGAGTCTCAATCAGTGAATGTGACTGTTTAACGGGTGAATGAATAGTCGCCACATGGCACCAGAAACAAACAAAATGTCATTTCCCGCCTTGCACAGTTTATTGCATCATCATTTATTACCGCTCCTTGTGTCTAGTTTCATGAACACCCATGGTTCGTTGCAGCTGGATTTGAGAGTTTAGAGTTAATTTTATTTCAGGGGGCCGTCTCGGCTGGTGTGGCAACGGGGAACGTGCTGAAACCGAAAACCACCAAGCCAGAATAGCCAGAACATTGTATGATGAAATGTGTCAACAAAACTCGTTTCATTTTCGGCTTGGATTTCACTTCCGTGGACTGAAATCGGATATTTGTGCGACTCCCCAGATTTGTCGTTTCCTTGTCTCATCTGCTGTGTTCTGGGAGTACTCTTTGTAGTATTGATACACCCTCATTCTCGTTAGACTGGCATATGTTATACTGACAGGGACGCTTAGTGTAGCCGCAGCGGACCAAAGAAGGTCCTATCACATGCGTTATACTGACAGTTTGACCCAGGGCGTTTAGTCAAGGTTCTATACGTTCTAAAATTGTAATGCTGTTTTATGTAAGACAGTTACTCAGCGTTAACGGAATTTTACGGCCCAAGTCTGGTTTCGTCGCCTCTTGCGACTTGGCCCGCAACCGAGTTATCTCACCAGCCCGCTACGTCCAAACACTGTAGCCACTGCTTCCGCCGGTGAGAAGACTGAGAATAAGGGTGTACATAATTTTGCGGCTTGTATGAGCTGGTTTGGCAGGTGTTTTACCACATTGTCCAATCCATTCCTTGGAAACATGAATAAAAAAAAAAAAAAAAAAACCAAAGTTTGTCTTGCTCATCCATCCTTCTTTTCAAGTTTTCCACGTCGCATTCAAAACTGGTGAACATCTTGGCAAGTGTGTGTGTGAAAATATAAATGAGCCTCACTTCGGAATTCAGTTGGGGACTGGCCTGCACCACACAATTGGTTGCCCATAAAAGCTCTGAACTGCTCTTGAGCCACGTCAGCCTCATCGCAAACAGTGGCGCGAATGGCGACAAAGACAAAAAGGAATCACATGCGCCTTCTCGAACCCACGTCCAGCACATGCCAGCGAGGCTCCGGAAAAGTTACTGTATGATGGACGGATGCGGCGCGACGCGACGCTTTCTGGGTGGTAGTGTGTGCTGCCTTGCTAGAAAGGTTCCCTGACATCTCGATCGTTTTGTCTTGGGTCTGTCTCGGTGTTCTTCGGTTCGGGCTATATTTGTCCTGTCTGGTATATTTTCCTGCCCGCCCCTCATCACCAACCATTCAATCTGTGGCTTTGGCATGGCGTCATGATCCCATAAGTTTCAAGGACAAGTTGGCCTTCCCCCGCAATCCTTGGTACTGTAGTGAGTTCTCCGTAGTCTTTCGCAGTCTCTGGTACCCTCCCAACTCAATCCACGGTTGTCCGATGTCCATCTGCGCTCTCACCCTATTCCCAGCCGCAGATCCCCTTGAATTCTGAATATCTCCTTCCCATCCCGCATACATATCTCCCCCTTTTCCGCATCCCCGCAGACGAATATCCCTCCTCTCCCCTTTCTCCACCGCGCGACCTCCGTCCACCCATTCTCATCCGGGCTCCTCCACTTTTGGAATGCCAAAGCTGGAACCAACGATCGCTCGTGAGGCATTGCGCTGCTTCGGATCACACGTATAGACACATAGACACGAGTGGAGTCCCAGTCATTTGGAAAAGTGTAATACCTTCACAACGTCTTCACTCACCTTTCGCGCCTTCCATTTCCGTTCCTCTCCGAAGTCGCACGCTTCGTGCAGACCCAGTGGCTCATCTGACATCTCGCGCTCAGATCAAGGCAGGAGCTAGAACTTCTGTTCATAGAAAATATAGTCTCTTCTTCGCTGTGGCCTTGGCCGCAGTGCTTCATTTCGTGAAGCAGCTTACGGTCCATGCACATTTCGTGAAGCAGCTTACGCTCAGAACATAGCTTCTCTTTCCACAGTTGGAGTCCGTGAAGGCTTCGTTCGCGTTCTCACTTCTACTTTCGTAGCTTACCCTTGTCCTAAGAACCCGACAGCATCCGCATACGTCCCACATGTGCTACTACCGAATGGCGGCTGCCGCGTCTCCCGCTATGAGACCGCCTGCGCTCCGCGGTGGCGCTGCGCTCTACGAGCCCTTCGATCCGAGCCCGAAGTCACTCTGCGATTCGTGCTGCGTCTTTCCCGAATCTCCAGCCGCGCTCGGGTCGCCGTCATTTCCGAGCCGCCATCATACGTTCGTGGCGCCGCAGCGTTTCAGGCGGAGCCTTAGTAGCAGCGAGGAGCAGAGCGAGTTTTCATCTGCCGACGGCTGTGACTCCGACCAGGCTGCTGTAGCTGCGCAGTCGCCGATGCTGTCGCTGACGCAACAGGCGACGTCGCAGACATTATCGCCGACGCTGCAGGCGATGTGGCACAGCGCTGAGAACATGGAGATCCGCGCGCTCGAGGGCAAGCTCGAGCTGCTCGCAACACAGCGCCAGCTCAGCGCCGCGCGTTGTGAGAACTTCATCCACATGATCGAGTCGACCATTGTCGGCGGCGGCGGCGGCAACGAGGGTGGCGCATCTACCGTCACTTGTAGCGGCGCGGACTGCGGCGGCGGGGGTGTCGCCGCTATCCGCGGCAGCGGAGGGCTTTCTCCGTCAGCTGGTATCACAAGGACGCATTCCGCTACAAGCACTAGCAGCAGTGCTTATACGAAAGAAGAAAACGAAGATGATGGGAACGAAGAGGACGACGAAGCAGACGAGCCGCCTCCATTTTTCCAGCGCCGCGTTTCCAGGCGACGGTCGAAGGAGTCGTTGGAGCTGACTCATATGATAATTAACACATCCCTTGATATTGAAGCTGCTCGTAACGAGGCGGAAGAAGATGACGGGAATGAAGAGGACGACGAGGCAGACGAGCCGCCGCCGCCCCAGCGCCGCGTTTCCCGGCGACGATCGTTGGAGCTGTCGTCATTCTCTTTGAAGGACCGCTCGTTGGAGTCGCCGCCGATTTTTGGCTCGGGCCGCTTTCCTCCGCGGTCGTTCTCGTCACGCGCTTTAGATCTGTCGCCGTCGCCAGTCGCACACGTCGCGCGTGTCCACAGCCAAGGTCATTCGCCCTCCATTCGCCCGTCGCACAGCCGCTCGCCAGGCAATATTGCGGTGTCGCACAGCCACGATCACTGCCACATCCACGCGCAAGCGTCTCGCGACCTAAGCTTCTACGACACACATGCTCCTCTTTCCCGCACGCTGACCACTCACGATGCGTATCACCCGCCTATTTCCCGCGCAAACACAACCCCGCTTTCCGGTCGCCATCACTCCGCCACCTTCCTCGTCCCCGTCAGCCCCACTAACGGCAGAGCCCCCGCGGGGCGGGTTTCGGCTGAGTTGCGGCTTTCAACGAGGGCGCTTTCCGCACACCTGAGCCCGCGTGGAGACCTGGGGTTTATTCATAACTCGCTTGGTGATAGCCTTGGTTCGGAGATCAGTAACCGCGCGGTTGGCGAAAGCCCGTCATTGTTAAGCCTACGTGGCAGATTCAAGTCCAACTCATCGCGCTTCAGCTGCAGTTTTGCAACTTCGCGCCGTTCATTGCACCGATTGGGCAGCTGGGCACATCTTGACATCTAACTGTTCCTGTCCACCTGGTCATCATTGGACGGCGTGGATCCATCTTCCTCGTGACGGAAAAATATCATCCCTCCAAGACTGGTACATGCAGTACCAGTTTGGGCTATAAAGGCTGTAGTGCCGTAATATAGTGACTACATCAAGCCAAAAGGCTCCTAGTGAGCCGTTTTCCCTGTGGTGCCTATTTCAAGGAGAGGACACTGTCCAGGGCTAGGAGGTAAGGAGAAAACCAGGTGATAGTATCGTACACTATTTATATTTTCTTGTATTTTCCAACTCCTTGTGAGTTGAGCTTTTGGTTAGCCAATAACTGTATCAGGAAATTCTAAAACGGTAGCCAATCAGTTGCTGCATGGGAGAAGGTTTAGCCAATTCATCTTTGTATTGGCCAATCCAAGGGTGGTTTCGGAAAACTATAAGAGAAGGTTATTACTGTCAAATTGTTATTTGCTCTGTAGGCTGTAGTGGGGTACTCAACAGAGAGTACTACCCTTTTATGGTTCCTACATGTTTTCCACCTGCCTGCTAGTGCAAACCCCCTCTTCTACGGTACCATTCCTTCTTATCGCCTATTTTCAACATGCTATCAGAGCAGGTCGATATGCCTGTGTCATAACA